ATAGAGACCCGGGTTCGGTTCCCGCTAAGGGCATGTACTTCGGCTGCAGTTTGTCCCCGGTCCTGGTCGGGTCGTGCGGGTGGCAGCCACTCGATGTGTCCCTTTCATGCCGATGTTTCTCTCTCTCTCTCTCTTCCTCTTTCTCCCTCCCACTCTATCTGAACAAAATATCGAAAAATGTCCTCGGGTGAGGATTAAAAAAAAAAAAAAAGAAAAAAAAAAAAAAAAAAAGAACTGTGCAATTTGGAAAACTCATTTGCATAAGTGGGTACTTGGGCAGGAACTTTCTAAAAGTTGGTCTCACCTTTGTCTGGATGAAACATAATTTAGGTTGATACCTGAATCTGTGTCTCCCAAACCGCAGGTCCTTTTGTCCAAATACATGCTTTTTATTCTTTATTACAGTCTAATTTTGGTTTACAACTTGCTATTAGTTCAGGTAATTATTTAACAAGAAGAGGAGGATCCCAACCTGTGGCAGTGTAAGAACCTCTGCCCACATCTTCTGAGGGCTGCCTCCTTCCCCTAAACTAGCAGTTTCCTGGAGCTTCCCCAAAGACACCCGACCACAGACATCAACACCCTACATGACTTCTGAGACTGCAAAACTTGAATATGATCAAGAGGGTTTTTGAGGAACTGGATTAGGAGAATATATTCATCTTTGGAGAGGCAACAGTAATCAAGGTCAGAGAGGACTTTGGTTTGCAAAAATCATGTCTAGATAAAGGGTTTCTCAACCATGGTGCAACTGACATTTTGTGCCCGATAGTTATTTGTTGTGGGGGGTTGTCCTACTCATTGGATAATTAATAGCATCTGGGGCCTCTACCCACTGGATGCCATCCCCAGGTTTTGACAAGCAAAAATGTGTCCAGATGCTGCCAAATGCCCCTGGGAGGCAAAGTTGTGCTCAGTTGAGAGACCTTCTAGAGGAAGTGAGCCCACTCAATTGACAAGGAACATTTTTAGCCACTCACGGTATCTACCTTGAAACACTGTCTTCTAATCCTCAGGGCTTTTCTTTTTTTTTTTTTTATGTTCACAGTTTTGAAAGCAGCTGTTTTCAACCCTGGTTACATACTAGAATCCCCCAGAGGAGCTTTTTAAAAATAGGAATTCCTGTGCTCCACCTGGAGATTCAGATTAGTGGACTGGGGCAAAGGCCAGGCAGGGGCATTTTTTAAAAAGCTCCCTAGGCAGCTCAAACTTGCAGCAGGAGTGGAGAAGTACTGCCCCCCGCCCCCCCCCCCCCCCCCCCCCCCCCGACGGTTCACTCGATTCCACCCTCTTCCCCATCCTTTGAATCTGGCAGTGTTAAAGCGGCTGAGCCAGACTACCAAAATGAGGCTATGGGGATTTATTAATGTCTCCATTCTTGACAATGAAACACCCTCTGTGCGCTCCACTTCTTGGCCTGCCTGCAGATGACTTGCCAGAAAGAACGGAACTTAACCCCATAATCAAGCAGCTTCCCCATGGCCTTACTGATCCAAACCGTCCAGTCTCAGGGAACTTTCTGTGAAAATAGAAATGTTCTCTATCTTCTCTGCCTAATATAGTAGCTGCTGGCCATGTGGCTATCAGAGCACTTGAAATGTAGCTAGTGTAACTGAAGAACAGAATTTTGAATTTTAACTTGAATTGATTTTAACTTAAATAGCCACATGGTGGCTGGTGGCCACCATATCAGATAGGACAGAAAAAGTGTTTATGTCCTTACAGGGTTGCAGAAATAAAGAAAAGTCCTATAGCCTGTTAAATTCCATGGAACTGTGAAATTTACATTTATATCTTTGTTTTTGTTTTTTTTTTAATCCTCACCCGAGGACATTTTTCCATTTCTTATACAGATAGAGTGGGAGGGAGAGAGAGGAAGAGAGAAAGAGAGAGAGAGAAACATCGACATGAAAGGGACAATCGAGTGGTTGCCACCTGCACGACCAACCAGGGCCGGTACATGCAGCCCAAGTACATGCCCCTAGCGGGAATCGAACCCGGGTCTCTCCGGACTGCAGGCCGACGCTCTAACCGCTGAGCCAAACCTGCCAGGGCTACATTTATGTCTTAAAATAACTAAACTCAACAGTCTTTAAATTCTCAAGTAGGATTCTAACTCATTCTAATAATCAGTATAGGAGATATTCTAAAATAAATTTTTATCAATCTGCAGAATTAGTTCCCCAGCATATTCCAAATACTTTGACAAGGAAGCTGATTTCTACTCTAAGCTGCTTACTAGCCTAACACTCATGCTTGCTTTCCTGCCCTCCAAATCCACAGATAACCTTCAATTCAAATATCTTGCCTTCTAATTTAGGCCTGAAGCAACAACACACACTGTTGTTTTCTCGTGTCATTAAGTTTCATTTACTTACAATTGCACAAACTGCATTCATGCATTCACTCTAGGTGTGCCGATCCTCACAGAACTCAAAGCTCATCAATTTTTAAAGCTAAAATACAGAAAGGCAATTCTAGTTCTTATTGCAAAGACAATGGATGGTTTCGAGTTGAAGAGAGCCTCATAGGCCTCTCTGAGCACAAAAATGCTTACCTCTTCTTGGCCCAAACTCCTTTGGCCTACCTCTAAGCAGAGTCAGCATGAGCATTTTAGTAATGATTTACCATTTTTCCAGTAATTCAAGGTGGTAGTCTCTCTTCATAATAGCTGGTATTTATTGCCCTGTGTTTTATTTTATCTCAATCTTATCACTGCCACTGAACCAGGTACTGTTGCCAGAAGCTGAGGTTAGGTAACTGGCCCATGCCACTCTGCAAGTGGCAGAAGTGGGATTTGGACCCAAGTCTCTGATTTTCTGGTGGGAATCCTTTGGGTTATGAATAAAGACAAACATGCAGTTGTAATGTTAGGTACTACGCTGAGCCATTCTCTCTGTGATTCGGCTGCAGCTCCAGGGGAGCGTGTAGTATTGCAGGGTTCAGAAATCCTGAGCCTATCTTTACTTCAGAAACTACCCCATCCCCCATGGACCACTCTCTATCCTGAGACTTCACCGGGAAGGTGAAAAGAGGGGTCTTGGGGAGCACAAATGCACCTGAGGAGGACAAGGCCGATACATGCAGTGGAACTTTCCAAATGCCATAATGGGGGTGGAAGGTAGTGGGATCCCAAGGGAGAAAGAAATCAATTTCAGTTGGGGGCAGGAGAAAAATCAGGGAAGTATTCATGGAGGGGACAGATGAGCTAGACTCTAAGGGGTAGGTAAGATATAAACATCAGAGATTCCAAGGAGGGCATTCCCAGAGGGAACAGACTAAGCAAAGTCAGCAGGGGGAACGATGTGTGTTCACTTGCCTGGGCTATAGCAAAGATAAGCAGGGAGGGTGAGAGAAGGGTCTCCAGGAGCCTAGGCTGATGGGCTGGGGCAGCACAGGGAACCTAGAAAGTACCCATCAACCATCCCAGGATCTGTTTTGCAACCCACCCTGGTATTTTCTAGCTGTGTGGCCTTGAGCTGGTCCCTTGTTTTCTCTGGGCATCGGTCTCTGTGAATAGGGCACCAAGGACTTCTTGTTGATCTGAGAACCTAATTTTAGAAAAATGAACTGATGCTAGGAACACAGGTTATTAATTTTTCTTCTAACTTCCCATATTATAAAAATATTGTTCATAAGAATTTGTTAGTCCCAATTGGGAAAAAATACGTCTAGTGATTCGGAATGGGGGCATGGAGGTCAGATTCACTGTGTGTCCTGGGAAGAGACCATCTTTGGAAGTCTCACATTTCTCCTCTGAGAAATGGGCATAGCATTGGCACATACTTCATGGGGCTGCTGGGAGGAGTAAGGCAGGTTATCATTTAAGGGTGCTTAGAACAGGATCTGACATGCAGTACTTGCTTATTCTGTCAGCTATTATTAATAATAAATTATTTTTAAACTCCAAGCCAGGTGGAGTCAGCCATGAGGGGTTTCTGAGCAGATGAGAGGTAAGGCAAATGTTAGCCGCAGGTCCCACTTGGGACCTCTTCATAACCATCCAGCCCCTGGGGCACAAAAAGCGTTCAACATACATATCCTTGGATGCACAACCTCTAGACCCTCTGACACCCTCTTGCTCCCTTTCCACCTCACTCTGTCAACTTGGCCTCCCCCACTCATCTGCAGGTTAAAGGGTGCAAATGTAGCACGTGCTCGAACTGCAGCCGACTTACACAATCCCCATTTCTTTTTTTTTTCTTTTTTGGTACATGCCCCTAGCAGGAACTGAACCCGGGACTCTCTGGTCCGCAGGCCGACGCTCCAACCGCAGAGCCAAACCGGCCAGAGCCACAATCCCCATTTCTAAGACCCGCAGGAAGCCCGCGTGGGCGAGGGATGCCAGGGTTGCAGGGTGTACATCAGCTGTCAGGGTGGTGGGGCCAGCGTTCCCATTCTCAGGTTTGGAGGAGGAGGGAGCGCAAAGGCGAGGGAACCCGGGCAGGTTGAGGAAAGAAAATGTGAAAGGCTGCTGGGGGTAGGTATTGGCTGGGAGAGGTATTGCTGGGTGCAGATGTCTAGGGCTGGACGGGAGGTGACTTCGTGACTTCGGCTGTAGCCCTACCCTAGGAAGTGGGAGGAACAGGGGTGCAGGAGCCTCCAAACCAGTCAGGGACTGGGAGGAGTGCCTAAGGGCCGCTGCCGCACGACTAGCGGGGAAGGTGGAGTAGAAAAGGGGTGCAGGTCCCCGGCCCATCCTCACCTTGTCCCTGGGCTTTGGGGAGGCAGGCAGCCTGGACCCAGGAAGTGGGGGGACCAGGATTCGGGAATGTCAAACCTATCCCAGCACCGGAAGGGAGCGCGCAGAGGCTGATGCTAGAGTGGGGGAGCGGAGTAGAATCGGAGGTGCGGGTCCTCGACCCGTCTTAACCCGGAGCGCCACCCGGGCGGAGGCCAAGCAACCCGACTAGGGAAGTGCAGGGTAGGTCACCGGATCACCGCAGGAGCTCCCGGACAACCCTCTCCCCGGTGCGCAACCTCGCCCCGCCGGCGCTCACCTAACGCGACCTGGCTGCCGGGGTCCTGCAGCACTGTCCCGATGCCGGCACCCGCACAGCTCGTGGCTCCCGTCCGGCCGCAGCGCTCGCGCCCGCCCCGCGCGGACCTCAGCTCAGCCCGGCTCTGCAGGACGCCTTAAAGGCGCCGCGCAGGCCTACGTCTGCCGACAGAAAAGCCGGCTCCGCCTGCGCCCGCCCCCAGCTCCACTCCAGGGCTGCCGCGTTCTGTCTTGGAGGCTCGGGGAGAGAACTTCCAGCTCCTCCGCTCCCCAGCCTCGTAGCACTGAACTCGAAAGATAAAGTTAGTATCTTGCACTACCCAACCCCAGCAATCTGTCTCAAGAGCCGAGGCCCGCACGAGCGCCTACTGAGTTCCCCACACGGCGCCCGCCCCTTGCAGAGGGCACAACCAGTCACCCTCCCCTGTCCCTGAAGAGCTCACTTGGGGCGGGGGCGTTGGAACCCAAGGCGTCACAGTCCACAGTGCGTCGCCAGAATGCATGGAGGCATTGTTTTATTTAATGAGCACCTACTGTGTGCTTGTGCTGACGGGCACCATCTGCCGCAGTGACTTTCTGCCACCGAAGGGCTCAGGAAGAGCGAGGGCTCAGGAAGAGCGAGGGACCGGCAGGTCCACTGGCAAGCAAAGCGAGGCTGCCTTACATGGGGTGTCTCATTTAATCCTGGAAGTGGACATTGTGGTTGACTTTCTTTCCCAGAAGAAAGGCGAGGGACTTGCCCACTGGTTCACCCTGTAAAGGACAGAACTGAGGATTCCAACCGGGGATCCTCTGACTCCAAAACTCTGGGGGCAAAATAACCAGCTTGAAAAGCCTTTCAGCCATCACCAGTTAAATCTCCACTGTGGTGATTCTTCCTTTTAAGGACAATAAACCCCCCTAAGGAAAAAAAAAATAGAGAGGAAAGCATAAAATTTATCACTCATTAAATTCCATGATGTTTTCCGACTAGCTTATCTGCCTCAAAGCTGGGTTTTTGAGCACCTGGCCTCAGTTTACCACTTCAGCCTCATCTCCTAGTATTCCTAGGGGACCCAGGCTGAACCAGATTGTCTGGGCTTTTGCCTGGGCTGATTCTTCCACCAAGAATTCTTTTTCTTTCCTGCTTGGCCTGACTACTCCTTCCTCGTTTCTGTGCCTTAATTTAAATGTCACTTCTGCTGTGTGGTATGGCTCAGTGGTTGAGCGTGGACCCATGTACCAAGAAGTCACCAGTTTGATTCCCATTCAGGGCACATGCCCAGGTTGTGGGCCAAAACTCCAGTGGGGGCCATGCAGGAGGTGGCCAATAGATGTTCTTTCTCATCGATGTTTCTATCTCTCTCTCTCCCTTTCCTTTCCTCTCTCTCTAAAATCAGTCAAGAAAAATAAATAAATAAATAAATAAATAAATAAATAAATAAATGTCACTTCTTCCAGGAAGCCTTCCTAAAATCATCTGTGGGCCCATACTGCAGTGCAGACTTCTTCCATCAAAGTGTTTATGCATTCAGTTAACAAATATTTACTGAGCACTTACTATGTTCTGAGCACTGTGTGAAGACGTCTTCCTGCTATACTAAGAGCTGAGTCTGTGCTTGATGCCTGCCCCTCACTCCAGACCTAGATGGGACCAGTGCCCAGCAGGACTCTTTTAGCCATTTAAATCCACCACAAAGGCAGCTTCCCGGCCTGTACCCACAAGCCTTCCAGACTGGCAAGTCTGATTGGGCAGGTCCTGAGTTTTAAGAATTGGACACGGACAAGCCCCAGTGATATGAGACCACTGGTGAGCACCCTATAAAATCTGCCTCTGTTAGGGCTGCTGGAATCCAGCCTAGTTTGGGATGATCTCTCTGGCTTGAGCTGGAGCATCTTCCTCTAAGGTGTTGGCCGCCTCATCACTCAGACTTCAAGAACCACATTTGATTCACTTCATGGAATTGTTCTCAGAGCTTCAGTGAATTTAAATTTACTTATTAAGTCCAGCCAGTGTGGCTCAGTGGTTGAGCGTCGACCCATGCACCAAAAGGTCACCGGTTCGATTCCCAGTCGGGACACACGCCCAGGTTGTGGGCCCAATCCCCTTTTGGGAGCATGCAGGAGGCGGCCAATCGATGTTCTCTCTCATCCATGTTTCTCTCTCTCCCTCTTCCTTCCTCTCTCTCTAAAATCAATAAAGAAAAAAAATTTTTTTTAATAAATTTACTCATTAAGAAGGTGTGGCTCAGTGGTTGAGCATCGACTCATGCACCAGGAGGTCGCTGGTTCGATTCCCAGTCAGGGCACATGCCCAGGTTGTGGGCCAAATCCCCAGTTGGGGGCATTCAAGTGGTGGTAGATCGATGTTCTCATTGATGTTTCCATCTCTCTCTCCCTTTCTCTTCCTCTCTCTCTAGAGTCAATAAAGAAAAATAAAAAGGCGTGTTGGTCAGTTCCACCTCTCAGGCCCCGTCTCTCTCCTTACTGCCAAACTTGAACCTGATAAGCCATTGTCTTCCAATATCCCCGGAGAAGCCCAGAGAGGCAGCAAGGACTAAAACTGACCAGGCTTTTAATCCCCACAAGCCACTTAGCAATCTTAGGCTCAGGGAGCATTCACCAAACAAGTGTTGAAAGGTTGAATAAATAAATAAGTGAATGAAATGCCTGAATGGTTTTCCAGACGGTCTACCCAGAAGCCATCAATAAACTTTACTTGGTGTATTAGAAACCTAAAAACAATTTTTAAATTAAAAATTTTTTTCTCTCCAAAACTTTAAAAATATGCAATTCATTTTTTTTCAATTTATCTTTTTTATAACTCATAGCCTGTGGCCTAAGGGGCCTCCCAGGGTTTGGAGTTTCTAAATCTAGAGATTTTCCCCCCTGGTTTTATATTTTGGTACACTGATTTGAAACCAGGTGGGAGTCACGTTCTCTGTGACTCTTATCCACTTGGTGACTGACAGGAGAGAAGCTTTAATTAGCTCCCCTTTCACAGTGAAGTCTAGGAGGCGGGAGGAGATAAGGGGACTCACCTGTAGTTGCTCCCTGAATGAGCAATGCCCTGAGCTCGGTCACTAAAGAATTAGGGGTGGGTGGGAGGCCAGGGAGCAGTCCCAGAGGCCACCCACATTCCTAATGGCACCTTCAGTCATCCCAAATAGACTCCTTATTATCTCACAGGTCTCACTAAGAAGATAGCGGCAGGCTAGGCAGTTAAGGACGAGACCATGGGAAGGGAAATAAACTAAAGGACCTTGTAAACACTGACAGGATGCACCTTGCCTGTGGAGATTACCTTGTGTGAAAACAAGATGATTTAGAGCTGAATCCAGCTCGGTGGGAAAACACCTTAAAATGTATAGATGTTGCTGAGGCAGAATTCTTTGAAAGAACCAATCAGAAGCTAGCAAGGTATATATCTACCCTTTGACAATGGAACCCATGGCAACCCACCCCTCCCCTCTGTGGGGAGTCTGTCTGTCTTTCAAATAAAACTTTCCTTTCGCTTGCCCTTTGTCCATGAACTCATTCTTCAATTTTACGAGACAACGAACCCGGACCCAAACACCGCCACTTGCTTTCATCACCACAGCATCAGAAAGGAGTTCTGAAACCTCGCCTCCGCTAGCAGGTGCAGCAGAGCACCCCCGGCTTCGCCCTGCCACGTCTGTGAACATCCTGGACTCATACCAGTCAGAGCTGAGTGGGGCCAGTGGTCACCACTGTTTAAGGCATGATGGACACTGTGCATCATCTCAGTTCTCACAACCACCCTGTGAGATGTGCTAACCTAATTTACAGATGGGAACACTGAGGTGCAGAGAGGTTAATGGACTCACTCAAGATCCCATAATGAACACATGGTGGGGCCAGAAGTCAACATTTCTGAGAAACCGCTACATGCTAGGTACACTTTGGGTGAGCAAAGACACTGCCCTAAAAAACTTAGAATCTATTAATAATAAGAAAATATTAGAAACTATTTTATCAGGGATCACACATAAATTATGATGGGATCATGAGTGACAACAAATACAAAGGCCATGTCAGCACATGGAAATGTATGTAGGAGAAAAATGAAAAACACAAAATATTATTGTACTAAGATGTCAGCTGCCAGCATCCCTGGGCCTACAAGCCATTTGCATGATTCATTCTCCAAACATTTACTGCATGGCAACTGTGAGCCAACCACTGAGCCCCCTGGCCAATGTGCAGTTCAGATATCACTACCTCGCAGCAGCCTTCCCTAATTACCTATGAAAAATTAACTCTTTCATCATCCATACCCTGTGGCACATTGTACATGATGATTTGTTTATTCATTTTGGTGACTTTTTTTTTTAATCCTCACCCAAGGACATTTTTTATTTTTATTTTTGCGTTTATCGTCAGATGAGGGGAGGGGAGAGGAAGGAAGAGAGAGAGAGAAACATTGACGTAAGAGAGACACATCGGGTGGCTGCCACCCACACAACCCTAACCGAGGCCGGGGACAAACCACAACCAAGGTACATGCCCTTAACAGGAACCAAACCTGGTTCACGGGCCAATGTGCTAACTGCTGAGCCAAACCGGCCAGGGCCATTTTGGTGACTCTTGATTCCACTTAGTTGTGAACTCTTTTTTTACCTCCATATCCCCAGGCACCAGCATGATGAGTGACACAGAGCAAGCAAATATTACTTAGTTATTCTGTGTTGAAATTTTCCCGTGTGCCTCACCTTGTGTCCAGAGCTTTACGTGCATTACCTCATCGGATGCTTCCAATGACTCTGAGGTGGGTATTTTTTTTCCTTTATTGATTTTAGAGAGAGAGGAAGGGAGAAGGGAGAGAGAGATAGAAACATAAATGAGAGAGAACATCGATTGGCCACCTCCTGCATGCCCCCCTCTGGGGATCGGGCCCACAATTTGGGCTTGTGTCCTGACCAGGAATCGAACCAGCAGTCTCTTGGTGCGTGGGTCAAAGCTCAGCCGCTGAGCCACACCGTCTTGACTGAGGAGGTATTATTAGCCCCATTTTACATATGAGGTAATTGAGACTCAGAGAGGTTAAATAACCTACCCAAGGTCACATGACTAGTGATACTGTCAG